TACAACAATATATATATATATATATATATATATATATACATATATATGTGTTTGTTTACTTGTGCATAAACATGTATATACAAGAAAATATGTATATCCAGTTAAATAATTATAAAATCATATGGCGGAGAATTATATAACAGAAGTTTTTTTTATAATCTAATCACAGAGAAAGTGATTTCGGATGTGGCAAATTGTCAGTATTGATCAATCTATAATCTGTAGAATTTTCACGAACACAATAAGCATTTAATAATTCTTCCAACCATAATGTTTGCCATACTTCACATCATAAGTAAACTTTATCATTATTCAATATTAATATTTCTTTAATTCTATCGAATAAAATATCTCCATCGTCTGTTTCAATATCGCTATCAATGGCAACAAATAGCTCATTACGATATTCAATTCCATGTACTACAATTAATTTGAAAATGTAATCATTATTTTCGAATCTCAATTTATTTAAGTTTAATTGTGCTAAGAACATGAGCAACTTTCACATATTCTCGTTTAGACTATTTTAACTTATTACTATTAAATGGACTTTCATTAATTCCCCAAATTGCACATTGAGACATTTGGTATATATTAATCATTGTTTTAGTGATATTTTTATAATTGCAACATATTGCATCGTATCTTTTTAAAAGTTGGTATTTTGCTTCGAAACGTAAACAATTCAACTAGCGTAGAGGACCTAAATTACGAATACAATCGCAATAGTGATTTAGATAATGGTCCTTATTAATTGGATTAACATTTGGAAATAATTTTCTAAATAGATTATTATGTTCGATAATCAGTTCAGATAGATATGGCAATATTGATAATTTCAATTTAGGAGAAAATACTATTTCTGTAATTCTATTTAAAAGTAATATTAGTCTTAAATATTTGTCATCTTCTGGCATCTTCTGGCTCATTATTGTTGATGTATATATTATATGAATTAAAGAGAGCAGAAATGAAAACGATGTATGAAGAAATTCGAAAATTGTTATAATTATATGCTTTACTTGTTATACTTATAATAAGCTGTTATATAATTTTATAATAAAATTATAACAACTGAAGAATATAATAAAAAGAGTATAATAAAAAAAGAATATAATAAAAGAGTATAATAATAAAATGAGTAAGAATAAATACGAAATTATTTTCTTATTACAATCTTATTGTATATATTCCGAGAATACTTTTAGAAATCGAAAATTTACTATATTTCATATAATTAATTACAAATTCAACAAGTTACGCATATTTTTGTTTATATTAAATAAACAGGAGAGAGAAAGAAGAAGTAATATAATATGATTTGATTATTTCATTTATCATTCAATAAATGTCTTGTCGAATTTGTAATTAATTACTCAAAACAGCAAATTATGAATTTCTTAGACATTTTCGGAATATATATTATACATTTATATTGAGAAAATAATTTCATATGTATTTTTTTGATCAATTGACTCATCTCATTCTGTGCATAAAGGTATTAAGATATAGTTACCAAGAATGAATAATTTGCAAGATATTTTATACTTTATGTCAAATTAACAATAACAAATTCAAGTCTTATAACAGAAAGTGCTATACTCTAAATTTTTAGGAGTGAAATGCATCACTCTTTGCTAGAGTGAATAAAAGATCACTCCGTTTTGGAGTGAACTTTTTCTCCTATGGAGTGAATGTGTTCACTCCTTGCAATGAAGTGAACAAACTTACTCATATAGGAGTGATTTAAATGTCCGATCAATATTCACTCCTACAAGAGTGAAATTTCAGTGTGATAAGAGTAAATGTTTCTTTCGCGCGAGAGACTCCGCGAGGGAATCGCTGGAACCGTGATGCTTCGCGCGTCTGTGTTTTTTCGTTGCCACATCGTCGCTGGTTTATTTTTTTATGGCCACGATGGATTTTCCAATCAAGTGGAATTTACCAGAAGTAAGTATAAATATATTGAATTTAATATATATACAGTGACCTTTAATCGTATTGTATTTTTCAGAGTTGGTCAAAATATAAAAAATTAAATAGCAAAAAAATAAATTGCGCGTTTCAATGAAAATTAACCAATAAATCTTAAAATTATATGTTTTTTGCTGAATAATATTTTACATCTATAACATGAATTTAAAAATTTCATTGTTTCATTGTTGTAGGAAACTTTAAATGATCCGAAAGAATTGAAGCGGTACTTATGCTGCCAAGATGTACAAAGTGAAGCTGCTGAAATATTAGAACGTAAATATTTCACATTCAGATCCTAATATATTCATTTCAATTTCGAGATAACTGTATGAACCAACTTGTATAAAGCATCGATACTTTCGGTTTTGTATACGAAGCAGTTTATTCATGAAAATAACTTTGAACTTATTAATGTACACTTACGTACATATTACTTATATATAAAATGCGCGCGCGCGCGCGCGCGTGTGTGTGTGTGTGTGTGTGTGTGTGTGTATGCATGTGTATGTGTAATGCGTGTATAACATATTATAACAATTTCTAAATCTAGAATAATAATAACATATTATAACAATTTCTAAAATTAGAATTGATAGAATTTTTTTAATTTTACAGAAGTCGATTTCAAATAAATATTATAAATTTCAATCCTTCTCTTTAACTAATATAATGGATAATTATAGACTTATATGTTTTCAATGCAAGAAAGTTTTTTATGGAGTTAAAAACTTTTCAACTCCAAAACTTTTTCGCCGCAACCATGCTATATTGTTAATCAAGTACAAAGCATCGGGATTTTTTTGTAAACAAGATAATTGCGCCAGACATTTTCTGAAATACAATTCCTTTATACGACATATAAAAAAAAGCTATATTGCTAATGCAATTTTTTCTTCCATTACTGGTACAGCTTTAAAAAAAGTCATAGCAGCAGTCGACATTTTTGTTTCTGATATTTCCGATTTTGTACAGGATGAAGTAACAGATTTTTGTACATCCCAAAATATTAATGTAAAAGAACCTGCAGTTAAAAAAATTCTTAAATAAATTCAATTTTAATGATTTATTTAAAAATATGGATACCTTGACAGGTCAGATTAAAGTATTAAAGAAGAACTATAAGTACATTCAACCATGTGAAATACCATTAGGATATAAAAATACCATTAGGATATAGAATAGATGAGCGATTTAATACACATAAACAAGAGTGGGAACAAAAACAAGTTTATGAAAGTATACAATATGTATCTATAATCGAAACGTTGCAATTAATTATGTCTCATACTGATATACGCGAATACATTAATTCAGAGACAAGTTCTGATCATGATTGATTAGTTAATTTTAGAGATGGCCAAAGTTTTCGAACGCATGAATTTTTTCGCAAATATCCTAACGCACTTAGAATTCAATTGTACTATGACGATATTGTCGTTAATAATTTCTCTTGGTTCAAGAGTTCAACCACACAAAATAGGGACATTTTATTTTGTTGTATAAAATTTACGACAGTGCTTGAATTCATTTTTGAGTGCAATACAAGTACTTATGCCATACAGCTGATATTGATAAGTATGGCATGGCAGCAGTTTTAAGATCATTTTTGCAAGATATGAAAACTCTGGAAAGTGATACTGGCGTTATCACAATATCTGATGGAATAGAGTGGATTCTTCAAGCTACTGTTGCTGCTGTATGCGCTGACGGACTAGCAGCGCACCAATTATTTGGACTTCTTAGTTCAGCAGCTCAATATTTCTGCAGAT